ATGCCCCTCCTTCCCTCTCATTTCACAAAGGAAATATGATGGTTAAACCAACACCTGACAAACTTGAAAGCTCACAGCTCTTGTGGTGCCAACGTTCTATGATGTTTTCACTGTGGGACAACGTCTAAAGGCTATTTAGCTCGGCTCAGGTAAACATCGCGTTGAGGGAGGGAATGGCCTTTATCCACCCCTCCCCGCACTTCTCATGATCACTCCTATCTTCTGTTGGTGGCATAGTGTAGAGTCGCCAAACCTGATTCAAACCGACACGCTCCAACTCCATCATTCGGAACCCTCCAAAAGAGTCGAGCGGTGGGAGTGGGTATGTGACTACTTTAACAAGTCTTAATATGTGACAGCGCTGTTCGGTTTCCCCACCTATCCACATCTACTACCTCAAAATTCAATTTCCGAAGCGACCTCTTGCTTCTTCTAATTGTAAGGTAAAATGCGACACAATAACGAGGAATCCTCGACCATGACTGACGGTGCACCCGGCCTCCTCACAAGGTGAGGTGAGGAAAGGAGTGGACGCCAACATGACTAGGACAACGAAGGCGAAGGAAAAAGAGAAGGAAGACGCGAAACGGGAACCCCTTGTTTGAGGCCCAAAATTTTTGCTCAAGCGGCTTAGACGGCGGACGACTGGACGAGTTTACTGCAACGCGTTTGCTGGCAAAATGCCAAAACATGCTTCAGTCGAGTTGCTTTAGCTGTTCGTTGGCAAGACAGCTCGTCCAAATCACAACTAAATTAGTGGGTGGAACGGTTTTGGGATAGAGCGCATTACAATTACTGCTCAGCAACCAGCGCACCTTCCGTCGTAAAAGCGCCACATCTCCTTCCCTGGCAGCTAACAATAAGCCAGGGTGAACAAATCGCTCTCTGCTGTGCGAGAGTAGAGCCGATAGTGAATGTACGCGCGGAGAGCACAGACGGCTCGCGGGTGGCGAGAGTGAATGTCCGCGCGCGAGAACGTAAAGGATCAGGCGAAAATCCTCGACGTGCCGTTGAGGAATCCTCAAGCAATATTCACCCTGACGTTATTACTTCGTATGGCGCATATACTTCCCGATGCGCTCCCTCTTTACCGTAATCGATTCCTTTAAAATATCAACCCAATAGATGTTGTGGTTTTAACAGCCACATTTTAATAAATATTCACGAGATGTAGATCTCGTAGATATAAATGCGCACAGCAGCCAGGCATACCCGGAGTAATTTACGCGCAACGGTTGCATGCTGGTCAGCACTTGCCACACTGTAGCTGTTTTGAGAAGCAGTTTCACTTAATCTTATTGTTACAGTCGAGCAGTCAGTACGAATTCGAAGTTTTCAGTAAACATGACGTTAAAATATAGTTTCTAAATCGGCGTTAGTAAGCAGCTGAATAGATAGAGAATAGGGGTTCTATTGGTAGCTATACACTCAGGTGAGGCCAAATTACTACCAATAAATAGCGTATGGACGCAATTTGCAGCAGAAACGTGAAACAAGTATTTATTGAGAATATAGCAACAATGGGGGTACAAACTAGGAATAGGACAGGCAGCGTCGTAGGTGGATGTCACATTTCGCAAAAACTACAATAAAGCGAACACTAGTAAGCAACGCCCTCTATGAATTCCCATATTTCCAACTGAAGCCATTCAGTGCTTCGTCAAAGGAAACCTCTTTGCAGATAGGAGTAGGGTACTATTTACCCTTCACTGCCCCACTCTTCGGAATGAGCT